ATTTTTAATTATTAATGATTATCTATTTAGAAAATTTTTTAATTATTCCATACTAATTACATTCATTCCTTTTATACTAGCCTTATATTGATTGAACGTTTACGTGTGCTTGTACTTGTAAAGTCATTATTTTAATATAAAAGTTTAAGTTTCTTTATATATTCTTCTTATATTTCTTCAGAATGAATTGAGAATTATTAAAGAACCATTTTTACTAAAAACAATTGGAGTTGGTGGGTGTGGCTTTGATAATGGTTTTTTTTTATTTTCTAACATATTAATTATAATCTTGTGCTTAACTATTTAATTTTAATTAAAAAAATAATGTAATGGTGAAATTTTTATATTAGTAAAAAAAAATTATACTATATAAAAAAAATAGTTCAACCCAAAAGTTTACTATGAACTAGTTTACGGATTTGTGTTATTCTAGGAGTCATATCAATTTTAAAAAAATTAATAAAAAGTATTTCAGTCATAGATAATGGCATTTTTATTAAACTCAACATAATATGTCAACCTTAAAACTTCATTATTGGAGTCCTTGTCTAGCATGAGTTTAAAATTAAATTGTATAAAAGTTATCCTGACATGACCTAATCAACTTGGTTTGTCTAAAGACATCCTAGCCAACTGATAAAAAATTATTTGAGGATAAAATTGACATAAGAAAACCTCATGGACTAATTTCATGCCTAACCCGAATTTAAAATTAAATTGTATGGAAGTTGTTATGATGTGATCAAGTCAACTTAATTAATCCAAAAGTTACTTGACATACCAATAAAATTTGAAAATAAAATTGAGAAAAAAAGATATATTGATAAGAAAAAAAAACATCTCAACCCATCTTTTTATTGAAAATTAAGAAATTGAAGAAAAAAATAAAAAAAATAAAAGGTTAAATAAAAAAATAAAAAAAAGCTTCATTATTTATTTGAATAATCATTTTAAAAAACTCAATAGTTATACAAAATACATTCATCCAGTCAAAAACTAAATAGCATATATTAAGTGAAACAAACATTGTATCAATTTGTAGAAAAAAGCAACATGAACTCTAAAATTGAAAATGAAATTGATAAAATTAGTAGTTTATGAAAATATTAGAGTTTTCAATATGAAAAAGCTAGAGAATGGATAAGTTGGGGTTGGGATTGGTGGTGGCTAATGAGTGATAAAAAATACATTAATTTGTAGAGGTTTAGCTTGACAACGCAAGGCATATAATGATGGTTGAGACTAGAGAGCAAAAGAAAGATGTTGTGACTAATGTAGAAGAAAAATAAAAAAGATTTTGTAGTGTTTATGTTCTATTATATTTGATCATTTCATTTAATTTTAAGATTTTGTTTGAGTGAGGTAGCCAAATGTAATTTTCATGGTGAAGATATTGCCATTTGTATGTAGTAAGAGTTCACTAATTTGTTGACTAAGTTATTTATGTGTACACTACTCTAATTGCTAGTCAATACAGCCATTACATCTCATATGGCCTTTCAAATATAGTTAAAAGTCTTGATTGACTGTGCAAACATAATTCTTAAAAAAAAGAAAAAAATTGTTATCAAACTCTTGTTTTTTCCAACTCAATTCTTTAATTTTATCTAATTTTTTTTTAAAATTTTTAATTTTTTATCAATCAATCAGGACACTTTTGAATCAACAAAGTTTATTAAGTTTTGTTAAGATAACTTCCACTTAATTTAATTTTAAACTTAAATAAGATAAAAATTTAAATACAAAGGTTTTAGAATTGATTTATTAAACTAGATTAATAAAAATATCAAATAATTCTCTATAAACTGAATATTTTTTATTATATTAAAAAAAGTTCATTGACCAATAGCACAACTTAGGTCTATAAATTGTTATTAGCTAAAAAAAACCTTGAGCTTTCATATTCCACCAATGAATATAGACAAACTACACTTTATATTTGTAACATCCCATTTGGGTATAAATTTTTTATAAATAAATCCAAGAATAGTGTAAATAGCTTTTATTGGTCAGGCAATTCATTGAGTCAATGAATTAATTATCTATATTTTTAATTTATTAAGATTTTATCAAAATTTTAATAGAGTTTTCTTTCTATTTAAAACATATCAAATGTTGACATAAAAATCATGTCACAAACAAACAATACCTTATAAGTCTTCACCATAACTTTTCATCCAATTATTTTGGATCTCATCCCATTATATCTATCATTTCTTAATTCATTCTCATTAATTCATACCATTAAAACATTAATTAACTTCATATGCATTTTAATAATTAAACCATCAAAGCATTTGCATTAATTGATTTTTTTATCTAATGATATAATATATTAATTAATGATTCAATTGTAATTTATAGGATTTCACTAATAAAATTTATTCTTTATAGTAAATAAAACATCCACTTGAAAGTCATTTAGATAAATTCAAAAGAATCTATTGGAAAAGATTAGCAATGTAAATTTTTATTGTGCTAACTAATGATATCCTATTATTTATTTCCTAGCTAATCTTAAAAAGAAACATAAAATATAAAAAATATAAAAACACATTACCCATAAAAAATAATAAAAATATTTTTATTTAAGATGTCTATCTTCTAATTATATATATATATATTTTTTAAAAAAACTAATAAAATATTAATCATTAATTACCATAAAATTTCGAGATTAGCACCAGGCTGGCAACAATCATTAATAACCCCTACGTGTGCAATATGGTGTTTCATCTTCGCCGTCCATTTCCTCACCCTTCCAACCCTAGTACCACGTTCTTGTAATCTAATTATTCTCGGCAGCCGCTCTCCCTTCCTCCCTCTTTCTCGCTCATACTCTTACAATCATGGTTCTTCCTTCTCTCAGAACTTTGTTTTTTTTATTTTTGTCAGATCTGCGCTTATTGTTCTTTCTTTTGTCGTTACTTTTAATGAACCAAAACCTTATTCTTGATGGCTTTATTGGTGGATGTGAGTGAAAACTGGCGAAGCTGACGGTGGCGGAGGTGGTTGTTTAGGATGGAGGAGATGGTGGTTGAGTGATTGATCGTAGATCATCTGGTGGGCGAGGATTAGGATATATGGAGTTGCATTTTTTAACTCCAAATTGATTTTTAACAATTGTGTAGACATTAATTTCATTAAACATAAATATTATTTTAGAAAATGCTAGCATTTTCTACTGCTGCAATGCCCAGCAAGCTCCACTTTAATCATATCATGATAAAGCTTTTTTCTTTTATGGTAAATACAAAATAAATTTCATTAAACAATACTGTTCTATGCTTCGATATGCGATCTTATCATCTCTCTTCAATTTTCTTTTTCTCAAACAATTAATTTACGATGTTGATATTTCCTTTTAAGACATTTCAATCAAAGCCTTTACACAAGAATTGTTTCTTTCTTCCATTTATTCTCAAGCAATTAATACAAAGAAAGTGCTTCGCATCTTTGAAATAGATAACTCATTGCAGAACTCAAATTTTGTCTCCTTTGAAGGAGCATACCTGGAAAAACCGAGGTTGATATTTAAAAAAATATTTTTTTTGTTTAGAAAAATATTAAAATAATATTTTTTTAAAAAATAATTTTTAACATAACACATACTAAAAAAATGAATTTAAAAATATAAATGAATTTTAACCCAAAAAAAAGTTTAAACTCTCTTTTAAACCATTAAACTCATGTGTTTCAATTTTTTTCAACAATGTTTTTTTTCTTAATATTAAATTTATTTTTTTGTTAGGTTAGGTTAATTTAGTTAATTTAAGTTTTTTTAATTTTATTTATTTTATTAATTAATATTGAATAAATTAAAAATTAAATTCTATAATTTATTTTGTTTACTTTTTATTTAATTATTCTGATTTTATAACTCAAGAATAGTGTTTAATAAGTTAACTTGATTTATTTTTTTATTTAATTTTTTTTAATTTCATTGATAAACATTAAATCGTTTGAGATTTAAGTTTTATAATATATTTTATTTTTTTTCTATGAAAATATCTTAATTTTATGATAAAAGTTGCTAATTTTAGTATTTTTATTCTAATTTAATAGGTTTTTTTTTTTAAAAAAAAAATTATCATTAATATTTTTAATCAAATTTTATTTTTTAAAATCGTTTCATGTTGCTTTTAAACCTACAAAATCAATCACTACAAGGTTTAATTTTTTCTCATAAAAAACATAATATCTAAATATTTTTATTTATTAAAAAAATTAAGAATCAATGATCTAATTTATTTAGAAGTTTAGTGAAGATAACCAATGCATGCTTGAGATTAAAACATTCATTTAATTGGAAAGTCATATTCTAAGAATCTCAAATTTCATAAGATATTAGATTCCCCCAAACGTAGGAATTCAATTCTTCTTTAAAATGAGAGCATTTGATATGCCAAAGTAGCATTTTTTATATTTAGCATTTTACTTTAATGCCATTTTCCATTATATAAAGTGGTCCAGTGTATCTTTACAAATATTTAAGTTACTAGTGCGTGTTTGCTATATGTAAATTTGATTAATAATAATAATAATAACAATAATAACAACAACATATATTCCGATGGCTCTGTATCGCTAACAACGTTTGTAATGTTATTTGTTTATAGATTTATTATTTTATTTGATAATTATAATTAATGGATTTTTTTTTCCAGTCGAAATCTAAGTAAAGAATTCTCACAACATATTTGTTATTAATTATATTTATTTAAACATAAAAAACTGTATTATAAGCTTTAGATTAAAATATAAATTGTACTTTATTATAAGTTTAAAAAGAGTAGAAAACAATTATAAGTACAAATTACCATGTCAACCAATCTCAAGATTCCTTTAGTTGTTGAAAAAGTTTACTTTATATTTTTTAAGCATAATCAACTCCTCTCTTTCCCCTCTAGAAAACTTAATGTAAGCATATGGATTTTTTGAAGCCTTGTGAGTGCTCCACAAAGTTTATATATATATTCTTAGAAGCTAATATCTAAAGATTATCCAAAAGGATATAGTGAACAAAGTAGAAAGATACATTACATAAACTATATATTATTCAAGCCAATAGCATGTGACTATCATTGAGGATTATGCTTATCTGTTGATTTTTGTCACTGTAAGCAGCAACACAGCGTGGACACAGTACAGTATAAAACTGCATCCCTTTTTTCTGCATATGCGAAAGGGTCTGCAGATACCATAGCCACCACCTCAAAATCTATAAACATTTGGCCTCGATTTCCTCGAGAGTGAGCCCTTTGGTCTCTGGCACGATGAAGAATATAAAAAGGAGAGACACCACAGCTATCGCTGCAAATACATAGAATAAAATCCCAGCTCCCAGCAATGCCTGCAACCAGATGCATAAGATCATTAACTAAGATTTCTACATCCACGGAGAGGCTCAAAAGACATGCAGGAAGTCTCAATAAATAAAAAGTAGGCAGTTTAAGGGAGTAAAATGAATGATTTTGATAATAACTCAAAGGGAAAAAAGGAACATAAATCGTGAAGTCATTGACAATCACGACCCACAGCAGACTGGAAGTTAAAACAGATGCGCATCTAGAGCTTTGAGGCAGGGAAATTAGAATATTGTAACAAGGGTGGAAACTTGAAAAGTTTAGGCTTCTCGCTACACCACCCTTCGCTAAACTAAATGTTGTAAATTTAACTTCTGGATGTGCAGCTAAAGGACTTCACGTTTCAGGCAATCATTCATCGTATAAAATAGAAGAAGATTTCAAGATTTAATTACAAAAAGGTGACCTCGTAACCTTATCTGTTTCAGAAACTCACTAGAACCATGACTGTATGCAACTAGACAAGATTCAGAAACCTTCTTTTACATAAATTATGCAATCATATAAGAAACAACATGGTGAAAACAAAGTCTATCTATATCAAGCAACCAAGCAGAAACCATATGTGGGAGGCAAATACAACAAATGATGGACATGCAGTGGATATATTGAAAACAAAGCCTTCCAAACATCTATTTCAAAACAATATATATATAATTAATTAATCAAGTAAAGCTTTCAAAGCTTTGTCGCAGCTAATTCAAGCTAGATAGAGAATCCCATTAATAAAAAATCTCGATTGAAGGCCATATTGGTCATGTAAATCATGTCGTATCTCACAGCTAAGGCCTAATTCTTTGTGCTCTTTTCAAATCCTTTGAAAGCATTTATTTGCACCAAATCACTCCATTTGTTAGTGTTTTCAGCCTTCTCTGTACATCACAAGACCATTATGAGGAAGTATCTTCTTCTTATCTGACTTACTTCCAGTACGGTCACTATTTTCTTGTCTGTGTAGTCTCCCATTGCTACCCGTCTATGTTCAGGCCTATTTACAGCTATAAGCATTTTCCTAGAAATCTTTTGACTACGAATTGAAGAATTGAAATCCAATAGAACATGCTGTAGAGCCATAGAAAGCAGTCACTACAGCCAATTTGCAGTGACCCTCTACCACTTCAAAATTTCAAAAATATTTTTGGTTTTGGTCATTGTCTAGCTATGTTAATATGTATATTTTTCCACATTTCATCATCTGCTTCACTATGGTTTATATATTAAATTAGATAAAAACATGGTTTTCTTTATTCTGTATTGATTATCCAATTCAAACACTTCTGGACGTCAAAAGTGGCCTTACAAAAGATACTTTGAACCCTAATTTAAATGTTAGAAAAAGAAACACCAGGCATTTAATGGTTTGAAAAATCAACAATCACGATCAAGCAAATAATCATGTCAATTCTCTACTTCAGTAGTTACTGGTTTCTGGATCATTTGGGGGTTTCAAAGACATCTTGCATTTATAGACACAAGTCTCCGATTTCTTTTAATGTCTGTTTTACTCTTATTTACGTGTACATATCCTATTTACAGACACTTGTACCACCACAAGGCATTTCTTTTTTAAAATACTCCTGTGCATACGCATGTGTATTATTCAAAGTTGTCAAAAAAAAATAAAATATTTAATTAATTTTATAAATCTAAACTTTTTCTGAACATTTTTATCACATTTTCTTTAACATTGTAAAAATATCATATACAAATCCTTTATAATCATATACAAATATTTTAATGAATTCTCCCCAAGTTATTTTTATTGACTAGTGTAATCACCATGCCTTGTTAGAAAGTAAAAAACTGATCAGATGTGGAATAGAATAAGTCAGTTAATAAAATTTAGTTTTTGTTAGAACCTAAACATCAAAAGTAAACATTTTGCTTTAAATTTTAAATAGATGGATAAAAACTCTTATAGATAGATTAGAATTTGTATTAGAAAAGTAAAGAAATAAGGGTGTAATACTCAATCAAAAGTTTTAAAGAGTCACTGCTTTTATGCTTAGTTGTGAATTATTTACTGTCCGAAAAGAAAAGCACTTCCAGCATGGGGACTTCAGAAAAAGATCCACGCTTGTGCTGCACATGCTAGAGAAAAGCAACCCCCACGCCACATAAGATTAACAGATCCACAGGAAAATCAATGAAACTATTTATAAATTTGCCATTGCAGCTGACAGGAATTTAGTGATTATAGCAAGTTTGCCAGAAACCGGCACCAACAATATATTTTCATTTCTTTCTTTGATAATGTTTTTGTAATTTATCACCACACTTTGTATCCAAAATTGCACTTAAAGTAATTTGAAGTGGAGTATCTTTGGGAACATTTATAGGTTTTGAAATTGCGTACCTTCAAAGGGGAAAATGTAAATGTCACAAGTGCATTTGCACCAAAATTCACAAGCACTGCTATACCAAGCCCCCGCCCTCTTAGGCGTAGGGGAAAAATCTCTGAAATCATCAGCCAACCAATAGGACCAAAGGATAACTGCAAAAAATAATGTTATGAGGCACACTATAAGATAACATATTTGAAACAAAAATTCATAAACCAAGAAGACAGAAAGTGGAAAAAACCATGTGCTCTGATGTAACTTAAAACAAATTGCTGAAATTAATCACCGAAATTACTTTCTTTTTTTTAAAATGGAACAACATGCAGAAAATCACAAAAATGTGGCAATTCTTTCTGTTCTTTTCCAGGAACTAAAGTTGTCTTAACCCAAAAATCCTCTGACACTTGACCAAATTGCTATGATCATATGTACACTAATAGTTTATACTATGAATGATGTTCCAAAGGCATCTATAAAGCATTGAAACCATATAAAATGAACAAGGACAAAAGACCTGTGGCTCCTTCCTAGACTAATTGTTCTGATTCAATATTTGCAGGATGTAAATGAGATCAACTGTTTCCTGACATTTCTATAGCAAAAAACTCTACTCGCAATGGTATGACCAACTATTATGTAAAAGATGTGGCGAAGAATGGTGGATGAACATCTGATTATTTGCTATTATGTAAAAGATGTGGCGAAGAATGGAGCAAGAAGTCATGGATGAACATCTGATTATTTGTTTCATATTTGTAACTCTAGATTTCAAATGGTTTTTCGGAATTTTATTCTCTCAGATTAAATAGTGGAAGTAGCCTCTACCAAGAACCTAATTCTACTTTCCTCCTCAAAATTACCCCTTTGAAATTATTCTAAGATGTTAATAACATTAGGATTTGGTTTCTGAATTTTGTAATGAATTTGGACGTATACAGATCACCCAAGTTAGACTACGGAAGACAGTAGCCAGGCTTTGTAATTGACTAATCAAACAAACATGGTTTCAGAAGTTGGCTACCTTTATTCAAGTCTCCCCCATCTGTTGGTTCTTTATCAGGGTTTATATTTCTAAAAAAAAAACACAGTTCTATTCCCACAATTATATTCATGATCCTCATACTAACCCCATGGGTATGGACATACTCAAACCGATAATTTAAATTACAGACATAAGAAAGCAGAATATTATGGGATGAAATTTGGTTTCAGAAGTTGGCTACCTTTATTCAAGTCTCCTCCATCTCTTGGTTATTTATCAGGGTTTATATTTCTTAAGAAAAAAACATAGTTCTATTCCCACAATTATATTCATGATCCTCGTACTAACCCAATGGGTATGGACATACTCAAACTGATAATTTAAATTACAGACATAAGAAAGCAGAATATTATGGGATGAAATTTTCTTATTTCTTGACTACCTGATAACATCCAACATACAACAGCAGTGCAGCAACAGCAACAACTGGTGCATCATCCAGAAAAATGTAATATGATCCCAGGAGGAATAAAGATATAACCTGTCATGGAAATATAGCATGTACTTCAGCACAATTACAAAAGCCTGAATTTTTTCTTACCAGTAATTGGGCTCGTCCCCCAACCCCCAAAATCTCATGTTTCATCAAAGTAACTTTTGCATTCTTGCAGGTGCAGCCTTGAAATAAGAAAAAAAAAAAATAACAAAAAAAATGAGAGACAGGGCAGCCTTTATTTACCATTCCAGAAACACCACCAAGTAGTAGAGGTCGCCTTCCAAGTCTATCAACAACAAGAACAGCTATTCCTGTCATGATTAACTACAAAAAGAAAACCCCATCTCAGAAAATTCCCCAAGAAAGAAATTGACTACCTTTAGAACAGAAAACATGCTTACGCATCACTTGGAAGAATACACACAATAAAAGCTCATCCTAATTTAAAAATAATGACAGCATGACATCAATTCAAATGGAGAATCTACCAAATTTGAATGATTAGTTTGTTGGAAGGGAGAATAGTAACAATAAAATTCTGCAAGGTACAGTAATGATGCACAGGAGATTATGTAATGTGAAGCTTTCAAACAATTTATCTACCCTCTTGAAAAACAGTGACCAGACCCATGAATACCACACTTGAAAACTTTGAAGAGACATTTATGAATAGTTTTATCCAGATCTATGGGAGATTATAATGCTGCATCAGTGAGAAACATAAACATCCTTGCAATTAAACATCCATCTTACAATATTAGAAGCAATAAAACAAGAGCTAGAACACACATGCATGTACACATGCACAAGCACAAAAAAATTGAACAAAACTAATGCCACAACTCTTTTTACTCTCTCATAGCAGAAAAGTTGTGGTCTCCATAGATGCAACCTTATGGAAGTCAAACAAAGAGCAGCAGAACTTATGGAGTTGTTGAAAATTTTGTTCCAAAGAGTTGACTCATCAAGTACAAAAATAGAATATGTAACAGAACAGGAATCTCAGAATCACATCTGTAATGTCTGTTATGTGGTCATTGCAACTGCTATGGAACAGTCAGAGTCATCATATTCATTGGAATTGAAAGTTTTAAGTGTTTTGGTTTAAGATTTTAGTAGAATATTCTTTGGGTTTTCTTTAATGCTTTTATACTGGAAAAGTTTCAATTGCAGTAGTCTTTTTTTTTTTAACTAAAGTTTTTTAGAATCTTGTAAATCAGCATGTAATTAAACTAAATAGCTAAAAAGTTCAGCATCATGTAAAACAAAGGAATTTATTCATTTATACCAATAGAATTGCCTTCTATTAAAATTACTTAAAAATCTGCACAATGGAAACAACTTGTTAAAACATGTTAACAATCCATGCCTATAGTGTCCACGACTGCTATGGAACATCCAAAATGGCCCATGATGCCATGACCACAAGCACCAGTGCCACTGTACCCGTGATTTAAAAAGCAATTAATTATGTCATCCAAACAGAATTATAATTCTATCCTGTAGTCTAGCCCGAAATTTTCTAATTTCTGATATCTGATACTTAGTAAGTTGCACTCATGATAGATATTTTCGCTTCATATATTAAAAGAATGTACCTTAAATAAACCAATAAGTATTGAGACCCGTGTTGCATCAGACGCTGCTGAAAATCCTGCACTCTGTCATATTATATTGGGTTAGGAAATCAGTATGAAAGTTAAAGGCCAAGTGAAAGATAAAGCTGTGTTGATACTCCTATAGTATACTACATAATCAAAGGAGTACCTGAAGAATTGATGCAGCATAATACAGAACACTTGGTTGCCCAGTGATCTGTCATGAACATACATTCTGTATAAGCAATAATGAAATAGATTCAGAATATTATATGATATCAGTTCAGTAGTAGAGATACTTGTTGGAACAAAACTAGCCCTGCACCAATTGTGAGGGCTTTCAAGCATTTTCCTCGGAAAACTTCTGTTAGTGCAACTTCTTTTTCTTCACCAACAACAGTGAGTTCAGCAAGAATCTCATCTACTTTCGCAGGAGCAGTGTCACCAATAGCTTCACCCCTGAGCCGGCATAAGCAACATATTGCAGTTTCTTTTAACTCCTGCATACTGCCTTTTCCTTGTATGGCACGTAATAGCAGCCATCTAGGTGATGCTGGTAGCCACCACATTCCAATTCCCATAATTACTGCCAAAGGTGTACTGGCTACATACATATAGTGCCAACCAGCTACAGTATCAACTAATAGACTACCAATTCCATAACCTCCCTGCACAAAATTTTAGATCTTTACTGTTTTGATCTTTTAAAACAAATATATAGAAGCTCACGCAGAAAGTTTCTTGCAACAGCAATTGTTGGCACCAAAGAATGTAAGCTCTGGAAAATATCCCAAGTCCTTAAAAGCAGCGCGAAGAACTTACAACCATGCCAAGTACTATGAAGAACTCTTTCAGAGAGATTAGTTGACCACGTATTTGACTTGGAGCTGTCTCAGCTATGTACATTGGAGCAGCATGCATTGCCTAAAAGAAGAGAAACCAAAGATTAAGTTCTACATAAAGATACATGACTAAACAAATAAATCCAGGTTAAGTTTGCAATAGAACTCTTGTTTTTAATTATAAGCATTAATAGCATGCATAATATTTTGGTAGGTAATGTATAATGTAAAAGAGAAGAGCATAGTGTGTTTTACCAATCCAATTCCAATACCAAATACAAACCGCCCAATCACCATAACAGCAAAGACAGGTGCTAGGGCTGTCACAAGCGCTCCAACAAGATATAAGAAAGCAGCCAGAATCAACTCTCTTCTTCTCCCTTCAAGTTAAATTAATATATTTCAACTTCAACAAGAAAAGGATATTATCACTGATCTAATATTTGTCACTTAAAAATGAAAAACAATTAACCTAGAAAGTCAGCAATATTGAAGGCCAAGACAGAGCCGATCAAAGCTCCATATAGTGATCCACTGGTCTGCAAGAAAAAATGGCCAAGTTGTATAAAACAGAAATTTGATCAACTCAGGATTTGGTGGGGCTTGAGAAGGAGAAGTAGCCAGTGTGCACGCATGTGCATGCATGGGGAGGAGGGGTGCGGGTGCAGCAAAAAGTCAGTCTATGAAATAAATGAATAAAAGTCATTACAAACTCACAATGAGCCCGATGTCCACAGAATTCAAGTCGTACCATGAAATACCACTTAACGTGGCTGACTGCAGGACAAAAAAAGGAATTAACAGGTTAGAAAGCGAAGACAAAGAGGTTCGCTATTTCTAATACCTTGAACAATCAAAGACAAAGTTTGATAAGTTTTAATCCCTTCTGCTCTTTTACTACAAGACACAGTGGGATGTCCAATGAGGCTTATTGTATGCTTCCAATCACTATCGCAACACTTCAATCTAGAAAGTCTTAATGATAGATCTGTTGGGCCATTGGACCATACTTTTTATTGAATAAATATAGAAACAAGTCAGTATACACTAGGGAAAAAAAATGGATGAGCACCAAAGAAATATCTTTCCATAGGTCCTACTAATCTCATGAAAAAACACACCTTTATTGATATTGTAGCACAAGATGTAGAACCAATATCATAACCATACAACAGTCCTCCAAGAGCGGGGAATAGAAACCTGAGAAAAATAAGACACTCCTTGAGTACTAAAAGGGTAGAAAAATGCTAATGAAATAATGACCACATAATTTGTTAGCCACAACTTATTCAATACGAGTGACAGAACTCAAGGTGATCATAGAAAGTGTTTAAAGTCAATATTGATATCATCACTTCTCTCTTTGCAGGTCAAAAACAAATGAAAACAGCATAATGATACCATAAGTTCAATCACCAATATCTTTTCTTCCCTTGTGTCAATGAGACATGTATGTTAAAACTGTAGCTGATATTCATTACTTTTCAATTTCTTAGTTTTAGCATGTTAAAGAGGAAAACTATGTTCCATGGATTATGTCTACAAAAATAAATAAATGAGATGCACTCTTGGGATTAGTATTTTGTTGAATAAATTGAAGTTGAGTGTTTAGGTCTGAGTACCAACAGGCCTCCCCTTCCTTTCCCTTCACTGCATATAGTTTCTTCCTCTTTTTCTTCACTGTCTCACCATATCCAAAAGCAACCTTTTCTCCTTCCTGTCATGTTGATATTCTCAGCCATACAACTATGTTAACAAACTCTGTCCCCGCAACTCAGCATCTAAGCCAAAGTTCCTTCCTCCTAGCCCCTCCAAACCAGATTAAAATCACCGACTGGGATGGACAACCCTTTTATCTCAGAATTTTAAAGTAACAGGTGGTAGAAAATATGTTTTACAAACTGTTATTTATCTAGAAGAAACTTTTAAAGGTATTGTTAAGGCACAACAAGTCTCGACATATTTTTGAAGGCATGTGAATAACCTGACTAAAAATCACCTCCTAAGAGGTAAAAATGTGATACCAAAGGTCTGTATCAGAGGTATTGTTTTCAAGTGTCAACGATTTAGGAAATCTTAAAATGCTGTTTTCCCCTATCATTATATTCAATTCAATTGACGAGATTTAGCATCTTTCAATCTTTACAATTCTGTACTATACTAAGAACTCTGGAATCAAAACGTTGGCTTATTTGAATCCAGAACACCTTTTTTTTATGATAGAAGAAACAATACATCATTCAAAAGCAGCCCAATGCCCCTGAATATCAGATAAGGATACAGTCTTAAAAGCACTAGAAGTACAACACCAAAAAAAGAGAGAGGGATCCAAGACATTTCAAAACAAAACTATTGATCCTTTTTTATACAACAGGATAGAAGGAAAAACAAAATATTCTCAATTCCACAATGAGAGTTTATGCATTTCGCAGACTGGGAAACAAATATGGGCAACCAGACATCAAATACTATGATCATGGTTTTTAAGAGTGTAGAGTTGACAATTGTGACAGACAATGCATGACAGGAGGCAAGCAAATAGCTTACAACAATGATTTCATAAACCAATTAAAAGGAAAGGAAAAACACATCGCAACTGAGATAAAATAAAGGCTCACGGGAAGATTGCAGAAGCAAGAGAGTAATTCTCTGAAGGGTGAATCCCCCCATTAAGAAGAGGCTCTTCTACACCACCAATCTCTCCCGAGGACTTCCCCGCCTGATCACCACAAGCCCTTTTCAGCAATTCATAGTTATCACAATAATAACAATAACCTTAGTTCAATCTATCCAGTTTGGTTTCCCAGTCAAGCAATGGGAATTCATTTATAAGTATGAAAAATCCAACCTCGAATTTCTCTCAGCAACCAAGCAGTCAACTACTAATATGTAAAAACGCCATTAAGAAAGAAATAGGAAACCTTTCCAAGGGAGGAGAGCGTGGGCTGTTCAGGATCGGGCTCCATGTTTCTCTTTTACACCAGGAACAAATTTAAAGGAAAAAAAACGAAGAGAACAGGAAAGAGAAAGGGTAAAGCTTGCGTCTGGCTCCAAGAGTTTGGATTTGCTAATTAATACACTGAAAGCGAAGGAAAGGAAAAAAGGTGAAGGTTCTCCTGAATCTCATCTCTCTCTCTATTTGAAGGGACTACCTACCCCCCCAGGCGCCAACCCCCGCAGAAAAAGAAGGTGAAAAACACTCAAAGACGTGTCCTTCTATCGACCAAATGGATGTTACAAAAAATAACATCTAGCAACTTCTCTATTTTTATATTTTAAAGTATTTTTAATTTAATTTGTTAGTATTTTATTATCTTTTGTGTTGATTTTAAGATAATTTTAAAAATAAAAAAGATATTATTTAATATATTTTTAAATTAAAAATATTTTTAAAAAATAATTATTAATACTCAGACATTTTTAATCAATTCTAATGGTTAATAATTAACAAATTAATAATGATGATTAACAAAAACAAACTAAATGAGTTAATTGTACTGTCCTCGTAATGTAAAACAGAAAGAACAAGGTTAGAATGCGACCAAATTACAAGCTGACTTTAGACTTTGTCCTTACAAGCAAAAACTAAGTTTAAAGCGCTCCTGTCTCCGATGTTTTTCTTGTCCCTTTCTCTTTCCTTCGTCTCTTCGTCATTTTTTACTCGATTTTCTAAGATGTCATCTTTCTGCATTTAATGACTCTTTATCGTCTCCAATACTTTTTTTTATTTTTTTTATCTCGTCTGCTGTATGCCTGGGTTCGATTACCCCTGGACCAGAAAATCATTGGTTTTATTTAGAATTGTTATAATAGTTATGGTTTAAAATTTTTATTTTTTTATTTTTAAGATTATTATATCAAAATAATATGAAAATATAAAATTAATAATTTTTAACAAAAACAAAAAATTTATTTTAAGAGAATACGGTCAACCATGTTTCCAATCACGCCTGTAAATGTACTGCATATGCTTTTTGTTTCGTCTTTTTTATGCCCATTGATGCCTGTTTTCCAAGGATTTCTTTCATGCTGTGCTGATCAGAGAAGTTAGCTGGCCTCTCTCTCTTTTTTTTTTTCTCTTTCAAATTGTTCCTGTACCCTGTCTGTGTTGGTATCGAAATGGCATCGTTTTGCCCTGTCTTTTTTTTTTTTTTTTTTTTTTTTCAGTTGCTTCCCTTTGCTTTCCAAGCTATTCGGTGACCCTTTGTCCTTTGTTTTCAGTGGGACTCGAGAAGATTTTCGTGAAATAATAGTTTCAGCTCCAATAAAAAATACTATATTGAAAGATTAAATAAAAAAATAACTTTTTAAATAGTATAAATATAATTTTTGGAATTATATATATTTTAATAATAAAAAACTATTTAGAAAAGTCATTTATATTTTAATATATTTCATGTTAAATTAATTTTAATATAATTATATAACTAATTTAAATATTTTTTATATAATATAATTATGATGTTATTAATTATATAATTAATATGAGTAATTTATAAAAGTAATATAAAATTAATGAAGTAATATGAAAGTTAAAAAATATAATTTAAAATTTATTTATATCAATATTTTTAATTTTAAGTTTTATATGTTATTGTTAAAAATTTAATTTTTAAAAAGTAAATTCAAATTTAAAATTAAATTTAAAATTTATTTATATACGGGAAAAAAAAATAGCCATTGGCCAACAACTATCATTTTGGTCATTTCTACAGTTAAATGTAGAAATGGTTGTTAAGGAAACAAATAGCCATTTTGACTATTTGTTTAGCTCCTCTGTTGGAATGCAAACAGTAAAGAAATAAAAGGCAAAAGACGTTTGGCTTCTCATTTAGCTGCTCGGTTGGAGCTGCTCTAATACCTTTTTCTTTATATTGTAAACAGTGTTAACATTCTTCTTTTTTTCCTTTGTATTGTGATTTGTTGTCTATCTTTCCGTGTGTGCATGTTTTCTCTCTTAAATTCTATCCTTAGGTTGTATTGTTTTTTTTTTCCCTTGATTTAAAATGAAGATTTCGTTGCTGCATTTTTTCTTTATTTTTAGCAAAATGAAGGTTTTGCATTTTTATTTTAGTTATTTAACTGAGGACGAGTGTCTTCTCTTGTCGACAAAATCCTAATCAATCCTCATCGACAATGCCACTAATAACAACATCAAAAGACTAAAAAATTAAAGGGATAACCTGAGTCTTTATTATCGTCGTTCTCCCTCCTTGTTTGGCTATGAGATATGACACGACTAAAAGATTGATGTCTTCTCCCAAGTGCAGGAGTGTCGAAGTAATAAATAACCCGGCAAGACCAGGGTCGAACCACAGGGAGGTTAATTATACAAATTATAAA